CTTTTACTTTTCGTACTTTATTTTCTCCTGTACATTTTTAGGTTTATTTTTATTTTTAACCAGTGACTTACACCGTACATTACTCTTGACATTGCTACTCTAGTTTAGTTTTTGCATTTTTCCTTGGTGTTTTTTTTTTTTTTTTTTTTTTTACAGTTTTTACTTTAAGCACCTTCTACAATAAAATAAAATAAAATGAATTTAATTTAATTTAATTATTTAAAAACAGTTAGTAGGTTAGTTTGCATTGGCATCTGTTCATATATTTTATTTCGTTTTATTCTATTTCATTTTATCTTATACCTTACATTGCAACACCTGCACTGTCAACCACCTATGTTTGCACCACCATTTTAATCTACTGTAATAACAGCGCTCTGATCTATTCATCTATCTAATCCCAAATTGATATGCAACATTAAATTGTTACTGTTATTATGGCAGGGTAACAATCAATAACATATAGGCCACTAAACATTAAGATATAACAAAGGCTGCATTTTCAATATCTTGAGATTTTATGATTTTAATATAAACCTAACGATACACTACATATTTCACACAAAAAAAATCGAATTTGTCACTATTTGCTTATACGAAAGCAACATATGCAAACATGTTAAAATAAAAGAAATAAAAGAAAAAAATATTTTGAATTTACTCATTGACAGCTTCTGCCATCTGGTGGCTCAAAATATTTTCACAGGAAATACCTGAGAAGAAGTACAAACTATAAGGTACACATGTAGAGTTTAAAGGAAAAGCCTAAACAAACAAACAAACAAAAAAACAAAAACTATAATGTAAAAGACATCATTCATGTTTCACTGCAGTGAGCACAGCTACAGGCCACGACTACACATGATGATGAGCTGGTTTGGAGGTTTGTGAGGTCCCATCACACTTTCGATGTTTGTATCTTTGCTTGCCGTCATCGTAGGTCCTGCTGGGATTCGGGTTCCTGAGGTGTTGAGAGGAAGGAACCGTCTTCAGGTTGTCCATCCCTGGGCGAGGTGAAGGCTGCCGACGAGTGTTTGCATAGACAGGATCTTCTCCTGCATGAAGACACACAAACAAGATGAGTTTCAGATGTTGAGCTGAGACTCACTCAACTAAAGCACACAAGTATTAGCATCAAAATAAACTTAAAGGAAGTCATTATGCTGAATGGCACTTTTCAGAATCATATTATATTATATTATATTATATTATATTATATTATATTTCTAGATTATAATTATTGATGCATTATTTTGTACATGCCTTTGATGTCACAGCCTGGAAAGGTGGAGTTATTTTAATTATTTCATATACTGCTATTAAAATATATCATAGTTCATTAGTTGATCAATATTTTGAATTATTAAATCTGCAAAGTAACTTGTAAAATAGGCTGCGACAAATGTAGTGGAGTAAAAATAGAAAGTACACGTTAATCAGTTTGTTACAGAAACCTATGATACTCGAGTAAATGCACTTAGTTACATTCCACCACTGCCAGTATGTAATACATCTAAATTATCAAGCAGAATCTAAATATTATATTATTTTTGTTTAAGTACTGTTTGTTTAACTGATTTATTTATTTATTAGTTTATTTACTTTTTATAATGCTGACTCGACCAAATCTCCCTCAGGAAGGATGAACACCTCCTCAATGGGACTAGATACAGGTTAAAAATAAATGAAAATGAAAATGTTGTAAATGCAAAAAATGAAATTAAATTAAAACTGAAATTGAATTAAATTGAATTAAATTAAATTGAATTGAATTGAATTAAATTAAACTAAACTAAATTGAATTGAATTGAATTAAATTAAACTAAATTCAATTGCATTGAATTAAATTAAATTAAAAGAACTGTTTAACCCTGACAGTGTTAACAGGGGGGAAATTATTAAAATAATTTTTGTAATAAATTGTTATGCATTGCAAAGAAAGCTTTACTTCTAACCCTTCTTCCTGATATTATAAAGAATGACGGCCTTATGTCTAACATTAAATTTCCTGTAACTTTCCTGGTTATTATTTTAAAGCTGATCTCTACTTACAGTTTGGCACTGCTGTACCTTGTCGTGAGTTATCTGTCTTTACACCCAGTGAAATTAAATTGGTGCTAATTAGCCAAGTATCAAGTATATGCCTAAAAGCTGCTATGAAGATCTGATGTATTAATAAATCATATATTGTAATCTTTCTTTACGGTATAAATGATTCACAGACACTCTTTAACTCTTTATAAATGCTGTCAGTTAAGGATGATTTGCAATTAAAAGTCTATCAGGAAATGTTTGCACATTTCATCTGGCCTGACTGCAGCTAGACTGGAAGCCCCCGATACGCTCTCTGCATTTCAGTCACTTCAGCACATTTTCTGTGTCAGTGCTGCTGCAAAACATGAGCTGCAAACACAACATCACTTCATACTCTGCAGTACAACACTTCATCTGGCCTGTAAAAAGTGCCACCCTCTCAAATGTTTAACTCAAGTTCCAGAAGTCCTTTAATTAATCAGTAAGTGCATCAATGCCACCAAGAGGAACATTTTTAACTTGATAGTCAAGAAGGTCAAATGACAAAGGAACTGTGTCGAAGTGAAAGTTTCTATATTTCATGAGGTTTCACTGAGGTGTTACAGAGGCGGCAACCAAATTAAATATCCTGAAAAGTTTCCATCAAGCAAACATCAGCTTCAACAAAAACACATTTACAGACTTCTTGCTGTCCATGTGCATCTTTCCACTGAGTCCCTGTTTCACACTTAGCACCTTACAGCAACTATAAAAAGCTACGTTTCTGTCTGTGATCGATTACGGTGACATGTTGTGTACGCATGCAGCCTCCTCCATTTAACATAGCTTTGATTCAGTGTACCATGCAGCTCTATGTTTTATTACAAATGCAAAGTCCCTGAATCATCACTGCATCTTCATAATTTGGTGGCTGGACGTCATCGACCACTCACAGACAGCAGCATTAGTATATTTCTATCTATAAAGCAATACTGGGCAAACTTCCGGCCGACCTCTGCACCTTTCTGTGTGTCAGCTGTGGTAGTTACCGGCTACGCTCCTCCAGGTGGTTGCTTTTTAATGAACCCTGGGTTACTTATAACACACAAAAAAACTTGTGGTATGACACAACATCCCCTGTGTGTGCTGTAGGTAGTGTGTAGCTTTGTCCTACTTCTATCTGCAAACCACCACATTCAGGCCCTCTTACTCATCTTCCCCTCTGCATGAGCGGCCCGTTGTCCCTCCGTGATGTCTGATGGAAATATTATACCAACATGAAACTACATCAATAACATAAAAGGTTTGCACATGACATAAATGAGCTTGAAAGATTATAAGCTAAAAATGACAACAGTCACTGATTGTAAACTAAAATAAATCTAAAGACCATTGAATCTAGATTTAAAGCGTCACCTGCTATCACCTCTTTTGGCGTTATATTTTCAGTGAAATTATGAAATGTGATGTTTGAAAGGTTGTGAGCGGTGGCTGAAATATTTTGCATAATAAACTCCACTGAAGAAGCAGCAATTTGATCACAAAGACGTATTCAGTGCGTTACTGGTTCAGTTAAAGAGAAGTCTGACTTCTGTGTGAGAGCAGCAACAAAACTGTGGCCCAAGTTAATATATAGTGACAGAATTGACCTATGGCTAAGCCCCGCCCTCAAACGCGATGAGCCAATCACAGTGCGTATAGCCATTCCCATACACTGGGACATTCTCTGCCTGGACGTCCATTGAAATGCATTACAGAAAGTCAGTTTGTTCGGTTTTATGAGCTTTTTCTGAGATTTGAAGTTTAAAAATGGTCAAACGGTGTGCATGGGGTACATGCAACTCTGACACAAGGTATCCTGAGAGGCTGGGTGACCAGGTGTATTTTTTACACTTTA